AAAAAAAAAAAGAACCCTGTGTGGAAAGTCTTATAAAGTGAAGACTCTTTCTTAGAAAATGAATGATTTTTAGTAATTTTCTGCTTATAGGCAGTTTGATGGGTGAGAAAGGGTATAAGGAAGCTTTGAAGCTTTAGTCACAAAGATAGGGATGGGAGTTAGGGGAGGAGAGGCAGGGGTCAGATTCCAGCTCCGACTTAACTTTTCTGGCCTCAACTTACTCTTCTGTAAAATGGGAATTAAAAAAAACCCTGTCATTGGGGTCATTTTCAGGGTTAAAGTAATAGCGCATGACACAAAGTAGGCGCATAACCAGTAACAGCTCTTACTACTAATGAATAGCTCCAGCAGCAGCTTTACTCATGCAGATGGCAGATTTGGGGTAAAACATTGTAAACGCAGAAATAATGCAAGAGTTTTTTTAAAGGTTGGTCACAAAGTTCATGGATTTGATTTCACAGAAGTAGTTTAGAGGCATGCTGAGGCCCCTCTTAAATAACTAGTAGAATTAATCAGAAAATAGGGAGCAGCAAAATCACACCAGTATTAGCAAGAAGTAAAAGCTAAAGAGAGTATTCAGCCCAGACCAGCAAACACTCAGGACACCCCTGCCTTGTGCAAGTGTATTAAGCGGTATGTCCAGTGCCAGTGGCCCTGCCCTCCAGCAGCTTAAAGCTAGTGGGAGAGGCAGACCTGGAAACACTTTACCCACATCCAAATGCCATAGGGATGGACGCAAAGGAGGGCACGGAACTAGTAAAGCAAGATGACTGGGGCCAGCTAGCGAAGGAGCAAACAGCCTCACATGCCTCAAAAGCTTTCCACAGGGCAGGAGAGAAACTGATGTCATTACAGTGGTGCCGATGCATTAAGAAAGGGACTAATTACATACATAAAATAGATTCTGTTTAATAATTAGGTGGAAGAAGCCATGAGAATAAGTTTTTGGAAAAATTTAATGGCATGAGAGAATGTTCAAAATATGATTCTGAGAAAGAAAAGCTGGATATGAAATTGCATTATTTAGAATGTTCTCAATGACATGGAAAAGGTAGGAAGGTGATAACACATTGACAGTGGTGATCTCTGGACAGTATGGGTGGGTTTTGTTTTCTTTTCTGTATTTTCGAAAGTTTTGATAATATGCAGATGTTAACATTTTTTAAGGTAGAAAAGGTATAATGTTCTGTTGAAAATTCTGAGGAGGGTTGGAGGTTCATGACACTAAGCAGCTGGTTGCATTCCAACGTGTGACAAGGATTTATGGATTATATTATCTAGTGTTAACTAATCTAATCCTCACAATAGGGCTAAGTGGTCTTAAAACGTCCTGCAAAGAAGCCTTGGCTTGAAGTTAATACTAATGGTGCCGGCACATGACAAGGAAATGACCTTCTCTTCCCAGTATGAACTCTTTTTGTCAACCACTAGGTAAAAACAAGGATGGTCTAAATCAGGCCTAATAAATTAGCCCATGGATGCAAAAGTAACCACTCTGGGAAAGAAACTCACACTATGGCGGGAGCATGTTGAAAACGTGTTTAGAAACTCATCTATTCTGATTAATTTTATTGCCCAAACCTTCCTATCTGCATACACAGACACTTAGGAAGAGAATTTCCTAACTGATTTAAAACATCTTCCAAAGGCTTTTTT